TGTGGTATCGTCTGCCGAATCTTTTGCTTTCGTAGTGAGTGATTTTCGTGTGCAACTTTGGTACTTAGTCCCTCTAGGAAATTTTTCCCGGGGTATGTAATCATGTATTTCCCCCCCGCCTGGTTCCAGGGAGTACAGGTTTCAGGAACTTCAAGCGTTCCCAGTAATGAGGTGTTTTATCTCCATTAGCGTGCTTTGAAGGTTTTCTATACATTTTCCTAGGGCAGCAATTTCAATCGTGTGAGCAATATCCAGTCTAGATAGAACAAGCGACCTGAAGAGTGTCATCATGGGCTTGGCATCCCTAGTTTTGAAGGGTCTCATTATCCATCCTGTCAGTTTTCTAGCAAATGCGATTGATACAATGTTATGGCCCTTGAAGGTGAGATCCTCCGATATGATCACTCCCAGGTCTTTGACGTTAGTTTTTTGCTCTATGTTGTGGCCGGAATTTGCTTTATACTTTGATGAAGTTTTAATTTCCTTATGTTTACCGTATCGAAGTAATTGAAATTTCTCATCGTTGAACTTCGTATTGTTTTCTGCAGCCCATTGAAAGATTTGGTTGATGTCCGCTTGGAGCCTTGCAGTGTCTGCAATGGAAGACACTGTCATGCAGATTCGGGTGTCATCTGCAAAGGAAGACACGGTGCTGTGGCTGACATCCTTGTCTGTGTCAGATATGAGGATGAGAAACAAGATGGGAGCGAGTACTGTGCCTTGTGGAACAGAGCCTTTCACCGTAGCCGCCTCAGGCTTTACTCTGTTGACTACTACTCTTTGTGTTCTGTTTGTGAGGAAATTATAGACCCATCTACCAACTTTTCCTGTTATTCCTTTAGCACGCATTTTGTGCGCTATTATGCCATGGTCACACTTGTCGAAGGCTTTTACAAAGTCTGTGTATATTACATCTGCATTCTTTTTGTCTTCTAGTGCATCTAGGATCTTGTCATAGTGATCCAGTAGTTGGGACAGACAGGAGCGACTTGCTCTAAACCCATGTTGCCCTGGGTTGTGTAACTGATGGGTTTCTAGATAGGTGGTGATCTTGCTTCTTAGGACCCTTTCAAAGATTTTTATGATATGGGATGTGAGTGCTATTGGTCTGTAGTTCTTTGCTGTTGCTTTACTGCCCCCTTTGTGGAGTGGGGTTATGTCTGTTGTTTTTAGTAACTGTGGGACGACCCCCGTGTCCATGCTCCCTCTCCATAGGATGGAAAAGGCTCGTGATAGGGGCTTCTTGCAGTTCTTGATGAACACGGAGTTCCATGAGTCTGGCCCTGGGGCAGAGTGCATGAGCATGTCATTTATCGCCTGTTCGAAGTCATTTGGCGTCAGGATAACATCGGATAGGCTTGTGTTAATCAAATTTTGTGGCTCTCTCATAAAAAATTCATTTTGATCTTCGACTCTCAGTCTGGTTAGCGGCTTGCTAAAAACTGAGTCTATTGGGACTTGAGTAGCTCACTCATTTCCTTGCTGTCATCTGTGTAGGACCCATCTTGTTTAAGTAGGGGCCCAATACTGGACGTTGTTCTCGATTTTGATTTGGCATAGGAGAAGAAATACTTTGGGTTTCTTTCGATTTCATTTATGGCTTTTAGTTCTTCCCGCGATTCCTGACCCCTAGAGGATTCTTTTAGTTTAAGTTCGATGCTTGCTATTTCTCTGACCATTTGTCTCCCTACGCATTTCAGATATATTGACCTCTTTTAGCCGCTCTGTTATTCTTTTCCGTCGCCTGTAAAGGGAGCGCCTGTCTCTTTCTATTTTACATCTACTCCTTTTTCTTAGAGGAATAAGCCTTGTGCATACATCGAGTGCCACCGAGTTAATCTGTTCTAGGCATAAGTTGGGGTCTGTGTTGCTTAGTATATCTTCCCAGCTTATATCGGTTAGGACTTGGTTTACTTGGTCCCACTTTATGTTTTTGTTATTGGAGTTGAATTTGGTGAATGCTCCCTCGTGACTAGTCTCATTATGTCGGTCTGGGGCTCCGCGCATACATGACTAGTGTAGTGTTGTTTAGTGTAGTGTAGTGTTGTTTAGTGTAGTGTAGTGTTGTTTAGTGTAGTATAGTGTTGTTTAGTGTAGTATAGTGTTGTTTAGTGTAGTGTAGTGTTGTTTTAGTGTAGTATAGTGTTGTTTAGTGTAGTATAGTGTTGTTTAGTGTAGTATAGTGTTGTTTAGTGTAGTGTAGTGTTGTTTAGTGTAGTGTAGTGTTGTTTAGTGTAGTATAGTGTTGTTTAGTGTAGTGTAGTTTTTGTTTAGTGTAGTATAGTGTTGTTTAGTGTAGTATAGTGTTGTTTAGTGTATATAGTGTTGTTTAGTGTAGTATAGTGTTTTTTAGTGTAGTGTAGTGTTGTTTAGTGTAGTATAGTGTTGTTTAGTGTAGTATAGTGTTGTTTAGTGTAGTATAGTGTTGTTTAGTGTAGTATAGTGTTGTTTAGTGTAGTATAGTGTAGTATAGTGTAGTATAGTGTTGTATAGTGTAGTATAGTGTTGTTTAGTGTAGTATAGTGTTGTTTAGTGTAGTATAGTGTTGTTTAGTGTAGTATAGTGTTGTTTAGTGTAGTACAGTGTTGTTTAGTGTAGTATAGTGTTGTTTAGTGTAGTGTAGTGTTGTTTAGTGTAGTATAGTGTTGTTTAGTGTAGTATAGTGTTGTTTAGTGTAGTATAGTGTTGTTTAGTGTAGTATAGTGTTGTTTAGTGTAGTATAGTGTTGTTTAGTGTAGTATACTGTTGTATAGTGTAGTATAGTGTTGTTTAGTGTAGTATAGTGTTGTTTAGTGTAGTATAGTGTTGTTTAGTGTAGTATAGTGTTGTTTAGTGTAGTATAGTGTTGTATAGTGTAGTATAGTGTTGTTTAGTGTAGTATAGTGTTGTTTAGTGTAGTATAGTGTTGTTTGTGTAGTATAGTGTTGTTTAGTGTAGTATAGTGTTGTTTAGTGTAGTATAGTGTTTTTAGTGTAGTGTAGTGTTGTTTTAGTGTAGTATAGTGTTGTTTAGTGTAGTATAGTGTTGTTTAGTGTAGTATAGTGTTGTTTAGTGTAGTGTAGTGTTGTTTAGTGTAGTATAGTGTTATTTAGTGTAGCATAGTGTTGTTTAGTGAAGTATAGTGTTGTTTAGTGTAGTATAGTGTTGTTTTAGTGTAGTATAGTGTTGTTTATGTAGTATAGTGTTTAGTGTAGTATAGTGTTGTTTAGTGTAGTATAGTGTTGTTTTAGTGTAGTATAGTGTTGTTTAGTGTTAGTACAGTGTTGTTTAGTGTAGTATAGTGTTGTTTAGTGTAGTATAGTGTTGTTTAGTGTAGTGTAGTGTTGTTTAGTGTAGTGTAGTGTTGTTTAGTGTAGTGTAGTGTTGTTTAGTGTAGTGTAGTGTTGTTTAGTGTAGTATAGTGTTGTTTAGTGTAGTGTAGTGTTTTTTTAGTGTAGTATAGTGTTGTTTAGTGTAGTATAGTGTTGTTTAGTGTAGTGTAGTGTTGTTTAGTGTAGTGTAGTGGTTGTTTAGTGTAGTATAGTGTTGTTTAGTGTAGTGTAGTGTTGTTTAGTGTAGTGTAGTGTTGTTTAGTGTAGTGTAGTGTTGTTTAGTGTAGTATAGTGTTGTTTAGTGTAGTGTAGTGTTGTTTAGTGAAACGAGAGCTTCGGCTACCAGGCCACCAGAGCAATATGGTGAAAAATTACCTTTATCGTGACTTCTTTTTCTTTGTCTCCAAGCCAATATACGGGCTTTAAAAGACGCACATTTATCCACTTTGCACAAAATTACACGGCACTAAATACAGCGCCAAATCCTGGTCATTTGGGGATGGAAATTTACAACAAATCCTTATCTCACTAGAGGTGATCTAGTTCTAGGTGATTGGCTGGTATGGATCCCGGTCCGGGTTTCTTCTAATTTGGTGACCCGGTATAAGACGTGTAACATACCGCAGTCTCTTGTATTAAGTCAGGCAGTCGACAGATCTCTCCAGAAAACTTTCAGATGAAGTATTGCATTAAATGCGCAGTTTGAATCCGGACCACTTTGTGGTGTTTATAATGGGGTTTTATCAGCCACGAAAGCAAGCAATTTTTGCAACAGTCAACTATAAGAATCTAATGTGTGTAAGATACATCATTGTTATAATTCTGGCATTTATACCATAACTACTATCATTTTTGGGGGTTATCCCTAGGTAATTATACGTTACTTTGTATGATGATTGTACTTATGTGTGCACCTGTACCTAAATAAACTTACTGATCCAAGGTTGAACTCTACCGAGTTGCTTGATTTCTTGCTAATTCACTGTCAGTCGTATGTACTTATAAGGTTTTCACGTTTTTGTACGTTTGAAACTACCACTATCTGTTATGTGTATGCAACATTTTAAATAAAATAGAAAATAGTATATAATTTGGACATTACTCATCCACAAATCTTAGTTTAATATGTTTATTATGCACCAAATACCCATCCTGTGGGTGGTAGTCAAAAGATTACAGAGGTACATAATGGGACCACAAAGTTATGATAACTGAGCAAGTTACAAAAGTAATGAAATCTTATTATACCCGAAACTCCGAAACATCATGAGCTGAGACTCAATACGGCTCATCCAGTAATTCCTTTACAATTAAAAAAATATAAAAATATGTAACTTAAAAGAGCTATTTAAATCTAATAATTTTGAGAAATTGTATGACTATTATAAGTTAAATTATTGTGAAATATCGCTCTCGTATATTTTAAATTAATTACTGTGTAGTTCGTAATTATTTAATTTAAAATACATATTTATTACTTTCACTTTTATTATCTTTTTGTATTTTATAACTAATTTAAATAATGAATTATAGTAAAGTAAGTATATTAATTTATATCTTATTGCCTTACGAAAGAATAATTATAAAAAAGACTGATACACATGGTGTGATTTAGTGAACACATCCGGACACTGTCAACATGGACGCCACCACGCCAGTATCATGCGAGGATATATCGGTAATATATGTCCTCCACACTTGTTGCAGGGGGACTGTTGCTTACGAGAGAAAGGAGACATTTGTGTTTAATTATCTGCCTTTCGACTCTGGGAATGTGACTGGGACGAAGTACTTGTCTGCCGGTTTATGAAAATTTTAAGTTGGCGCCGCTTGTTCTCAGCTGATGAGAGCAGACGATGATTGACATAATACTGCTGATGTTCACCTGTGGTGGCCGGACTCTAAAAGTAATATATATTAGAGAAGAGCCCGCTTCATAGCTTATTGGAGAATTTCGTTAAAATTGCCTTTACCTTAAGCATAAATTATATGTGAATTGCTTATGAGACTGACGAAGTCAACGTGATAAGTTAATACATATATTATGTAAGTTTTTTGGTGGGCAAAAAAAATGTATGAATATATTAGTTACCGTATAGGTTTCTTTGTTTTATCATAGGCAGAAGATCCGAGAGTTTACCCAAAAATTTTGAGCCAAATAGTCCATTGAGAAGCCTAAATAATTTTGGGTGGTATATGAGTTACTGTTATTGTAAGGTGAAGCACTGAACCCGTAAGTAAGTTTATTCAGGTGTAGGTACACTTAAATAAATTATTATATATAACAGGTAGTTAGATTCTATTGAAGGAATTTGGCTCTTTGTATAAGCTGCCTGAAATACTTTATAATAAGTGGCTTTCAATTTAACATTAATTTGTATCAAATTTTATGTGTTGTATAATGTTTCGATGCCAAAAAAAAAAAATTGTTGATCATACATAGAAGTTGCAGTAGTTAGATTTATATATCATTTGGGTGCAGTTTTGAAAAAATTATAACATCAAATTTTACACAAATGCATGTTCAGTAGAAAGTCAATTCCTCTGCAAAACACTCTGGGCAAATTAATCACTAAACATATAAATCTAACCAATGTAACTTCTCTGATCATTAAAAATAAACAATTTATTTTAATTTCCTGGATCAAGAGCCCCACTTGCCATCAAGAAACCTCCTTGGGTGGTATATGGAGAAATGCAAGGTTCAAAGCCTAAGTGAAAATAAAGGCATCGTAAGAATAAGATAGAACTAAAGCAATAATTACATGTAAAAAAAAATACATACCAAGACATCTGAATGCAGAAAAATTCAGTGTTAGGTGAGGTCTCAAACTTTGGGTACAAGACCCCAATAGAAAAAAAAACCTTGACTTTTTTTTTGGTTATCCTAGGTAATTTACACTATGTATGATAATTGTACTTGTGTGCCTCAGCCTAAAACTTGTTGATTTTATTGAGTTAGCCCGGTGATCTTCCTTCAAGGGAGGTTACTTGAGCCTGGTGAGGGAGATTCTGATCTAAGGAATTGGACTTATGCTTGAGTTCCTTGAATTGAGTCTAGATGCCTTCCATGTGTTGTATGAGCCTTGCTGGTTTAGTGCTTCTCCATGATTGTGTTAATGGCTAAGTAGCAGGTTTGGTGATTTGTTAAAATGTAACTATGAGTTATCCAGCAATACAGTTAACCACTACTATCTTGTCTACTTTTAAGTAGTTACTAAGTACTATTATCTGCCTCGTTTTAAGTAGTTTCCGTGTATTAGAATTAGTCTGTCCGAAATGCCCCGGCATGATAGTGGCTTTCTTTGTACTTAGCACACCAAAATTGTAATTATACATTGTAACCTTTACAAAGAAATAAACCTTTCCTTTACTTTACTAGGTTTGGTGTGTGTTACCATAGGTTGAATGCAAGTAATCTCACTGTAACTCTGAAGTTTCTGATCAGCAGAACTCTCCAGTGTTTTGCTATTGGTGAAAAGTTCTCTCGTATATACACTTACAGAAATATTAACAAGCTTTTATTTAACCTAATCTGACCTAAATTAAATATACCCAAATATAACACTCATGGTTATATTTGGGTATATTTAAACAAATCACTGAATCTGACATCTGGGTAACTCACTTATATTGGCGATTTAAAAAGGTGATTTTTACCTGATACTGTTAGGTTGATGCTTGTTGACAGTTTTACAAAAAAAAAATTACTGTATATGGACAACTATTCACTAGCAGGAAAATGAGACTTATGACTGACAGCTTGGGAAGGTCGTTGAGATCGCTTCCATTCTAAACTTCATATCAAGAGTTAATAGTAATAAAAGTGTCATGGTAATACTGCAGCTTTAGAAGAATTTATTCAGATTGTTAAACCTAAAAGGTTAGTAATCCAGGGAAACTCAAGAAAGCCAGGCACTATAGCTTATTTACATTGGAGTCCTTTTATAGGTCCTCCAGGGTGTGACCCACAACAGCCAGTTAACTCCCAAGTATCTTATCTACTGCTAGTTAATGGGCTGCAGTTGCTAGGAGACTTGCTTGTATGTGGCACTTTGCAAAGGTTTCTACCAACAGCAACAACCCAGATGACCAGGTAATCTCCAGGAAAATCTGACCCAGGCCAATTGGTCACAGGTAATAGATTTGGATTTGAAAACTGTTTGTTTAAAAGAAATAGAGAAAAACACTAGTTACCTAATAAATATAATTATATTATTAGTATATAATGCTGACAAGTTGATAAGTAAGACAATACCCAGGTGTTATATATGCCATAGTCATCAGTTTGCCAGTAGAGCTGTAGATGAGTGGACACACTTACTGAATGTCATTGAATTCAAGCCAGTACTGGGTAACTCTTAAAAATAGGTCAGATAAATATAAAGTGGCAATGGGTGGATGTGAATAGAACCTGCTCAACATAGTCCAGTAGGCACTGTGTCTATTTACATGTATACTAATATGGCCTCTGTATTTTCTTTTAGCATTTTTTATTCAAGTGGAGCCAACTCTAACACTTAAGATTCTGACTGTTAAATATAGCATCCAAGCAAGTGTTAATTGGTCCACAGTTTGCCTTGTGTAAAGCTGGCAACAGCATGAAAATTGTTAAGCATTTTTTGTGAAATTCTTTATGATTTTAACAAAAATCTAATGTCTTTTCTAAAAATTCAGAAAATTGGCCAGAGCTGCAAAATTTCTGGGATGTCTCATGCAACCAAGACCAACCTGCACAGCCCTTGGCTTTAGGGAATAAATGTAGTAATTTGATAATGAGTCACTAGTTCATAGTTGATACATTGTGAATTATCCACAGCATTAAGACTGTGTCAGCTGTCCAGTTTTTTATAAGTCTCTTCTTTCCAAAATACCAATGATAGTCTCACTTTTCTGCTTTGGGCTTGTACTCTATCAGTCTTCAGAATTCCTACTCGAGCACTGCTACTGTTGTGCACACCTGTGGCACCAAGTCATCCACAGGCGGTAGTAGTTGCTGCTGTTACCTGGACTGCTTTTCACTGTTGATTTTCATGCCATTTCTGCTTCCATCATCCTGTAGGTTGGTAAGCAGCAACTGTCCAGAGAGGTATACTGCCATTCGGTAATATAAATGTGAAACAAAATCCTATTAAATATTTTGCACTGGTAGAATTGCTGGTTGTCTGTCTTTTTAGTAAATATGCAAGATGGTAGGAAAATTTTATAAACTTTTACTTTAATGTACACACATGTTAGAGAAAAATGATTTTATATAAAGTAATGCATATTTTTAGTAGAGTGCATGCACATGCTCGCCTATATGTGGTTGCAGGGGTTGAGTCATAGCTCCTGGCCCTGCATGTGTGTGCCTGTGCATTATTATTATTATTTTATTATTTTGTAGTTGTAATGATAAAAATAATTATATAAACTGTAATAGAAAATAACACTAAATGTGGTCAACTTAACCCTTTGACTGTTTTGGTTGTATATATACGTCTTATGCACCACTGTTTCTGACGTATTTATACGCATAAATTCTAGCAGCTTCAGATCGAGCGGGAGAAAGCTGGTAGGCCCACATGTGAGAGAATGGGTCTGTGTGGTCAGTGTCCACCACATAAAAAAAAATCCTGCAGTGCGTAGTGAGAAAAAAAAACTGACCGTTTTTTTGGATTAAAATGCCAACTTTGAGGTGTATTTTCGTATAGTATTTATCGTTGTATTCTCGTTTTCATGATCTCAGGTGATAAAATGGAAAACGTATTACAGAAATGGAGATGATTTTGATTACTTTCATAATGAAAACAACCTTGAAATTGAGCTCAAAGTAGCGGAAATGTTCAATTTTTACCAATGTTCAGAACATAAGAACATAACATAAGAAAGGAGGAACACTGCAGGAGGCCTGCTGGCCCATACTAGGCAGGTCCTTTACAATTCATCCCACTAACAAAACATTTGCCCAACCCAATTTTCAATGCCACCCAAGAAATAAGCTCTGATGTGAAAGTCCCACTCAAATCCAACCCCTCCCACTCATGTACTTATCCAACCTAGATTTGAAACTACCCAAAGTCCCAGCCTCAATAACCCAACTAGGTAGACTGTTCCACTCATCAACTACCCTATTTCCAAACCAATACTTTCCTATGTCCTTTCTAAATCTAAACTTATCTAATTTAAATCCATTACTGCGCGTTCTCTCTTGGAGAGACATCCTCAAGACCTTATTAATATCCCCTTTATTAATACCTATCTTCCACTTATACACTTCGATCAGGTCTCCCCTCATTCTTCGTCTAACAAGTGAATGTAACTTAAGAGTCTTCAATCTTTCTTCATAAGGAAGATTTCTGATGCTATGTATTAATTTAGTCATCCTACGCTGAATGTTTTCTAACGAATTTATGTCCATTTTGTAATACGGAGACCAGAACTGAGCTGCATAATCAAGGTGAGGCCTTACTAATGATGTATAAAGCTGCAGTATGACCTCTGGACTTCTGTTGCTTACACTTCTTGATATAAATCCCAGTAATCTATTTGCCTTATTACGTACGCTTAGGCATTGCTGTCTTGGTTTAAGGTTGCTGCTCACCATAACCCCCAAGTCCTTTTCGCAATCTGTATGGCTAAGTTCTACAAGCAAATCACACCACACGTCCAATACACTTCAACTGGGGAATCTAATATTCTTTCACTAGTGCACTGATATTATTTATACCATTTTTACAATAATGCAGTAGTCTGCATAACAGTAAATTTTGTATTTTTTTGTATGAATAAAAAATCAAAATAGAATGCAATAGTAATATAAGAGGGGCCTAGAGACGTGACTCATGAACAGAGGATATGTTATTTTAGTGCCAAGAATGTCTACATTGTTTATTCTGGATCCTATTTTGAAATTGGCATCTTTTTTAATTTGCGTGAAATTGGCCAAATTGCCAATTTCTGACCACTTTATTGGGTAGTTCAAATCAGTAAATGGGCAGTTTCTTGTACTCAACAGATAGAAAAAATGGAGTTCTAAAGAAATAGCTATGAGTTTGGTCAACTGGAACAATGGAATTGGCCAAAACCAGGGCTCAAAGTCGGCAAAATCGCCGATGAGTATATGTTGCCTAGACCGCTAACTTCACGGAATCGTAATTCCGTGAGTTTTCAACCAAATTTCGTACTTTTGGTGTCATTACCATCAGGAAAAGATTCTCTATCATTTCATAAGAAAAAATATTTTTTTTTTAATTGCAAAAATTTATCGACATAGAATGACAGTTTCAGACAGGGGCCTGTGACAGTCAAAGGGTTAAACATATGATTGTCAAATTCAAATATATAATTGCCAGCATGTTCATCATTCACTGACTATTTTATACTGTAAATTCAAATTAGAGATTGTTATTGATTCAGTGTATGTTTATTAGCTTATTACTAAAATCAGCATAAATTTCAATATGTCTTGTATTTTTTTCCAGGATACGTTACAAGCAATGCGGGCAATAGATGACAAAATAATATACGAGTTGAATATAGCTACCCCAACACAATCTTTCAGAAATGAAGTGGATCCCAGAAATCACTGCAAGAGTTTATATGATCAAGTATGTCCAAAATATTATTGTGCACATTACTCTAAAAAAAATTGGTGTCTTTTAAGCATTGTTTGAAACCTTTAATGTTAGATTCTGCTAAGGTAAGCATATAATATAATTTATACAATTTTTTGTTTTAGTAAACATAATTCGAATTGCCAGTCATACACAGTAAACTCCATGAATAACATAAGTAAATTTGAAAAGATAAAATTAAATGTTCATTGCACCATAAGAAGAAGAATGTATTCTTAATATTTTAGTTTGCAATACAGTATTATATTTATACTGTATATGTAGACTATATATGTACACTAGAGTAACATTATTTACTCAGTTGCTTTGCATTATAAGGTAATGTGATTAAGTAATGCTACCTTCAAAACACATACATATAATGAATTGCAAGTAAAATTTAAAAGCCACATGTATTTATAGTTTTTTTTATTAACACATCAGCTGTTTCCCAACAGGGTAGGGTGGCCCAAAAAAGAAAAACTTTCACCATCATTCATTTCATCACTGTCTTGCCAGAGGCATGCTTACACTACAATTATAAAACTGCAACATTAATGCCACTCCTTCAAAGTGCAGGCACTGTACTTCCCATCTCCAGGATTCAAGTCCAGCCTGCCAGTTTCCCTGAATCCCTTCATAAATATTACTCTGCTCACTCCAACAGCACATCAAATCCTACAAACTATTTGTCTCCATTCGCTCCTATCTAACACGCTCACGCATGCTTGCTGGAAGTCCAAGCCCCTTGCACACAAAACTTCCTTTAGCCCCTCCCCCAACCTTCCCTAGGCGGACCTCTACCCCGCCTTCCCTCCACTACAGATTTATACACTCGAAGTCATTCTATCCTCTCTACGTGTCCGAACCACCTCAACAAGCCTTCCTCAGCCCTCTGGGTAATAGTTTTGGAAATCCCACACCTCCTAATTTCCAAACCACGAATTCTCTGCGTTATATTCACACCACACATTGCCCTCAGACATGACATCTCCACTGCCTCCTGCTTTCTACTTGTTGCAACATTCACCGCCCATTCTTCACACCCATATAAGAGTGTTGGTATAACTATAATACATTCCCCTCTATGCTTCCATGGTTTGTTACCTATTTTTTTTTGTTATCCTCATCACCTTATTCTTACCTGTATTTACTTTAATTTTCTTCTTTTACATACCTTACCAAACTCATCCACCAACCTCTGCAACTTCTCTTCAGAATCTCCCAAAAGCATAGTGTCATCAGCAAAGAACAACTGCAACAACTCCCACTTTGTGTTAAATTCTTCATCTTTTAACCCCCACACCTCTTGCCAACACACGAGCATTCACTTCTCTTAGTACCCCATCTACAAATATATTGAGCAACCATGGTGACATTGCACATCCTTGTCTAAGGCCTACTTTTACTGGGAAATAATCTCCCTCTCTTCTACATACTCTAACCTGAGCCTCACTATCCTTGTAAAAACTTTTCACTGCTTTCAATAACCTACCTCCTATTCCATACTTTTACAACATGTTCCACATTGCCTCCCCCCTATCCACCCTGTCATATGCCTTTTCCAATTCCATAAGTTCCACAAAAACCTCTTCACCCTCATCTAATTATTGTTTACTTATATCTTTCACTGTAAACACTTGGTCTACACACCCCCTACCCTTCCTTAAGCCTCCTTGTTCATCTGCTATCCTACTCTGTCTAATTCTTAATTCTTTCAGTAATAACTCGACCATACACCTTACCAGGTATACTCAAGCAGACTTGTTACCCTATAATTTTTTGCACTCTCTTTGGCCCTACATGGTTGTGTTCCTGTGCATTATTATTATTATTATTTTGTAGTTGTAATGATAAAAATAATTATATAAACTGTAATTGAAAATAACACTAATTGTGGTCAGCTTAAACACATGATTGTCAAATTCATATTTGTAATTGCCAGCATGCTCTTCAGTCACTGACTATTCAGAGGAACTATGCATGCTCTCAGCCATTCCCTAGGTACCTTACCCTCTTCCATACATTTATTAAATAAAAGCACCAACCACTCCAAAACTATCCCTACCTGCTTTTAACATTTCTATCTTTATGCCATCAATTCCAGCTGCCTTACATTCTACCCACTGCCTCACAAACTTCTCCCACACTCACAACTCTCTCTTCCTTACTCCTATGAAATGTTATTCCTCCTTGCCCTATACACAAAATCACAATTTCACTGTCTTCATCAGCATTTAACAATTCCTCAAAATATTTCCTCCATCTTCCCAATACCTCTAACTCTCCATATAATAACTCTCCTCCTATATTTAACTATCAGATCCATTCATTCCCTAGGCTTCCTCAACTTATTAATTTCACTCCAAAACTTTTTCTTATTTTCAACAAAATTTGTTGATAACATCTCACCCATTCTCTCCTTTGCTCTCTTTATACATTGCTTAACCACTCTATTAACCTCTCTGGTCTCTCCATATACTCCTTCCACCTTTCATCACTTCTAGTTTGTAGAAACCTCTCGTATGCTAACTTTTTCTCTTACTACTATCTTTACATCATCCCACCAGTCGCTCTACTTCCCTCCCACACCCACTTTTCTGTAACCACAAACTTTGCTGAACACTCTAATACTACATTCTTGAACATACCTCATATATCTTCAACCACATTGCCTATACTCTCACTAGCCCATCTATTCTCCAGTAGTTGTTTATATCTTACCCTAACTGCCTCCTTCTTTAGCTTATGAACCTTCACCTCTCTCTTAACTGCTGCTTCATTTTCCTTATATCCCATCTACCTTTTACTCTCACTGTAGCTACAACTAAAAAGTTACCTGATATATCTGTGGCCCCTCTATAAACATGTACATCTTGAAATCTACCCAACAATCTTTTATCTTCCAATGCATGGTCCAACAAACTACTGTCATTATGCTTTACATCATATCTTGTATACTTATTTATCCTCTTTTTCTTAAAATATGTATTACCTATAACCAAACCCCTTTCTATACAAAGATCAATCAAAGGGCCTCCATTATCATTTACACCTGGCTCCCCAAGCTTGCTTACCACACCCTCTTTTAAATTTTTCTCCTACTTTAGCATTTAGGTCCCCTGCCACAATTACTCACTTGGTTCAAAAGTTCCTACACTCGCTTAACATCTCTCAAAATCTCGCTCGCGCTCTCCTCTACACTCCTCTCTTCTCTAGGTGCATACACACTTATCATAACCCACTTTTTGCATCCGACCTCTATTTTAATCCATATAATCCTTGAATTTATACATTTATATTCCCAACATTATTGCTACCCCTTCCTTAGCTTTAACACTCTCAGATACTCTGACTTAATACCATTTGTTTCTCCCCACTGAAACTCACCTACCCCCTTCAGCTTTGTTTTGCTTAGAGCTAGGACATCCAACTTCTTTTCATTCATAACATTAGCATTCAAGCATCCCAGTTTTATAAAGTTTTTCTTCTCTTTTTTTAGTATTTTCTGCAGGAGAAGAGGTTACTAGTCCATTGCTCATGGCATTTTAGTCACCTCATACGACACACTGGCTTACGTAGGAAAGATTCTTTTCCACTTCTCCATGGAGAATAGAGGAAATAAAGGAGAACAAGAATTATTAAGAAATGGAAGGGAAACCAAGATGTGTGTATGTACATATATATATATATATATATATATATGCATGTGCATGCCTGTGTAGTGTGACCTAAGTGTAAGTAGAAGTAGCAAGACATACCTGTTATCCAGCATGTTTGAGACAGAAAAAGGGACACCTACAATCCTACCATCATGTGAAACAGTTATAGGTTTGTTTCACACTCATTTGGCAGGACTGGAGTACCTCCCTGGGTGATTGCTGTCTACCAATCTACTACCTATAATTTATAGTTTATAAATACAAATTGTCAACTCAAACACAAAACATTGCCTCAGAGTCTCCTGTTATTGAGCCTAATACACCTAGTTTTTAAGTTTCCAATGAGTTTGTATATGAAATAATATTATGAAGGCTGGTTATGTTAAACATTTTTTTATGGCCTGGGGCTGTAAAACTTGAGTTGATTCCTAATTGGCCTGTTTCAAGACACAATGAGCTTAGCAGAGCTAAGCTTATTGTGTCCCAATTTCAGTATTTAGTCTGTCATAAAGCTTTATCAGTTTCTATTGATTGTAGGGCTCACTGTCTCTTGTAGACCATTTCAGTGTTATTCCAGCTGATGGGATTAAGGAGTCATCTTTGTCAGCTTTTTTTTTTTTTTAACTGGCCATCTTCCACTGAGGCGGGGTGACTCGAAAAAGAAACTTTCACCATCATTCACAGTTCTTGTATCCTTATATAATCTTAAGTCTAATTATCATGTCTCCTCTTCCTATCAGCCAAAGATGGCATATCCAGCACTAATGAAGTATTATAAAGGTTTGGTTTCTGTGTTTCATTGAATGTTGCTTGTTTTGAATGATATTTGACAGCAATCAAAGAAATTTTTTTATATATTTATATTGGATCTGGGACCATTTTGTAACTTGGCTTTGAAGTTTTTCTGGCATGTTAATATGCTGTTTTGTAGGTTGGGAATTTCTTGTACTCATTTTTACAGACTAGGTCAATATTCCCATACAAACATTACAATTCAGTTTGCATTAAGATATAGTAAACTCTTGATATAATGGATTTTTAACTAATAGGTGAATTGTTCTTTTAACTTCTTTATTTTCAGTGTTTATTGCAATATAAGTGCAAAGTGGGACTACAGTACTATATTAATATACAGCAGAGTATTTTTTTTTTTTTTTATTATGATTGAACACTTGGATACTCCCCCTCTTTGTCCATTAGATTAAGGATTTACTGTACATTGAACAGAGGCACAACTTGTAACATATACAACATATACAATCAGAGTACAGTCAGATCTCAAGAGACACATACAAAGGCAATAAAGGAAGAACAAGAAACAGTTCATAAAAT